GTGTTCAATTTGGGGATATCTTGGAAGGGGAAGTGGTTGGAGAAGTAGAAATGACAATATTGACGAAGGAGAAACGACGCGTTATAGGCAGTGGTTTGTAATTTACAGAGTTGACTAAACGGCGTCAGAGTCAAAATTGACAAAAGTTGAAGGAAAGGGCTATATTGGGAAATTGTACAAGTACAAGGGGGTAAATCGGTGAAATTGAGAGTACGAGGGGGAAAGTGATTCTCATGCAGAGTACGAGGGGGTGAAGTGGAATTTACCCTTTAATTAATTAACAATCTATCTATATCTATATATATCTATATCTATATCTATACTAGATATAAAATGATGAATAGGGTGGTGGTTTCTTCCTTTTTATATAGTGTCTATTATACTCCTATGTTACTCAATTGTAATACTAAATGACTATGGTCACTTGAGTACTTAACAATTTAAATAATAAATAGATCAAATTATATATATATATATATATCATTCTCTACAAAGAAAACATTAAAGAAGTTCATTTAATTTCGTCAATTTATTAATACAAAAATTTTATTTACTAAAAAATAATCATCATGATATAAATTATGTAGTACTTAATAACACGTATGGATTTCATGATTAAACTCGGAGCTTAACTAATTACAATTGTTATTTTTTTCACTTTTAAGCCAAATAAAAAATAAAACAAATATTTTATTTAAGATAGAATGTAATTTCATTTACTATTTTTTTAATATATTAATTTAAGTTATTTCATTTTTGACTTTCTAGCCAAATAAAAAATAAAAATATTCTTTTACGAAATAGAATGTAATTTCATTTTCCATTTTTTTATTAAAAATAATCCATTACTAGATAGAATGTAATTTCATTTCCTTTTGTTTGAATATATTAATTCAAAATAATCATGATTCAATGTTAATTTCATTTTTATTCACTTCTCATACTTGGGGCCTAAATAATTAAAACTATTGTTTATAATTTTAATATCATATGTTAATATTGTTATCGTTTGGATAAAACTAATTTACTTTCTCAATAATTTTAATATATATGCATAGTAAATTAAGAGAATAAGGAAAAAAAATACTCTAAACATATGAAATTCAGAAAATACTCGGTAATTATTATTCAATTTATTTTTATTTGTGATATAGTAAATTTTTATAACTTGAATAATATTTATAAGTATTTATTAATAAATTTAAATAAATATTATGGAATTAAATTTAAATTTATTAAATTTTAATTATGGACTATATTATTTAAATTTATTAAACTTGTATTATAGAATGCAAAATATTCGAGTGACATTTTGATGTGAAATATCGCTCGAAAAGATTAAATTACAGTGAGCTCGTAGGAAATCCACATGTCATAGTCCATAGGCTAACGTATTTCATACGCTACAAGTGAAAATAAAAAAGAGATCAAAGAGTAATGCATCCAAAACTAAAGAAATGGACTAATAATATTGCACTTGGGAAAAAAAATATCTTCATTATTCGTCTTTTACACTGATGATGCATTGTCAGACTATGTCAAAGTGATAAAACAGTCTACAAGTATTCAACAAATTACATAATCTTCAAGATAAATGAATTAACAACTAATAAAAATTGGCCAAGGACAAAGAAATAAAAAAAAAATACCAACAACATCAATAACTATTTCAATAAAAAAATTAATTAAATTTATAGTAGGGAATTGTGAAAGAAGAATTGCGTTTCACACCCAAAATTGACTCTAATTGACGAAGATTAAATTATAATGAGCTCGTAGGAAATTCACATGTCATAACCTATAAACAAACGTATTTCATATGCTACAAGTGAGAAAAAAAAATCAAAAAGTAATGCACCTAAAACTAAATAAATGGAGAAATAGTAATACATCTGGGAAAAAATCAGTGTTCTAAAAATCGGTCGAGGCGGCCGATTAATCGGCCGACTCGGCCGAGGCGGTCCAAAACCTTTACGATTTTAGTGTAAAGGTTTGAAAAATCGGTTTTTTGCATGTGGGGCAGTTTTAGGCGGTCTGAGGCGGTCCGAGGCGGTCAAACCTTTAAGGCGGGTCAAACTCCGTGGCAAAAATCGGTCAAAAATCGGTTAAAAATCGGTTTTTTTTTTTTTTTATAATTCAAAATAAAAGTTGGATTTTAATAAAAGAAAATATGATTTTATGCCTTATTTTGTTTATGTTAATTATTATTGTTAAAGAACTGAATAAATGTTAATTCAAAAATTTTGCTTTTTTATTTATATTTTATAAGGATATTTATGTATTATGATCTTATAATTATTAAACTTTTATTATGTTATTACGATATATACATGATGGAGATATAACTATGTTTAAATATCTTTTTTATATATGTTTGGAGTATTTATAAATAATATTTAGAAATATATTATATTAAATTTTAAAAACCGATTTATTTCCGATTTATCACCGATTAATCACCGCCGCACCGATTAATCGTGAGTGGGTGCCTGACCGACTCGGACCCGATTACCGCCTTTTACAACCTTGGAAAAAATATCTTCATCATTGTCTTTTACACAAATGTTGCATGGTTAAGACTGATACGACAAAGAGCTATATAAAACTAAGTCTACAACCATCCAACAAATTCTATTTATTATTCAAGATAAATGAATTAACGAATAATGAAAATTGACCAGGGGCAAAGAAATAAAAAAAACCAACAACATCAATAACTATTTCAATAAAAAATAGTAAAATTGAGAGTGGGGAATTGTGAATTGCATCTCGCACCCAGAATTGACTCTAATTGCAATTGGCGACTTGTATCCTAACACTTCAAAATTTCCAAAGTCCACTAGCAAATGGTATTTCTCATAGCAAACTGCAGCATGCATTACATTCTTGTGAGATTTTAATCAAAGCTTCTTCAAAGGGCTAACGCCGTCCCATCCCCGCCCGCAACCCCACATCGCAAGCTCGGTCATGACAATCTCAGTTCTGATCGTTGAACTCCAAGGTTTTCTTCATGTTTTCACGAGCAACTCTTTCTCTCTCCCGCCTCTTGACTCGTTCCTCTAGTTCTCGCGCATCCATCTTGATTCGATCCTCTAGTAGAAATGTAAGATTTGAATCGTAAATCATAAGATTTTAAGTTCGGTATGACGGTTTTTTTAAGAAAACTTTAATTCATTATATAATTTATAATAAACTGGGGATAATTACAGTTTTGGTCCTTATATTATATACCATTTTTAATTATGGTCCTTAAACCGGTAATGCCTCCCCAGTGGGGGTCAATTTATAATTTCTGGAAATCCACCTCCCTGACAGAAATAGTTCTGAAAATTGCAGAATCACCCCTATAGTTACTCCATCTTCCCACCAGCTCCAATCAAATTGCGAATTTGACCCCACAGTAGATCTCTCTAGCAATATCCGAAATTTGCCACCAACGCAACATGCTTCGACTCCTCTTAAGCCATAATCGCGTGTGACTCATTTACGAAAATTCGTAATACCAAGCTTAAAATCTTATGATTTACGATTCAAATTTTACGATTCAATTTATTAATACCCAAGTCGATTCAAATGTTACAATAAATCTTTAATATCAATAAACCGATCAAATTTTACCATTTACGATTTAAGAAACATTTAATTTATTATATTATTTATAATAAACTTGGGATAATTACAGTTTTGGTCCCTATATTATACACCATATTTTAATTTTGGTCCCTAAACTGGTAATGCCCCCCAAGTGGGGATCAATTTCAACTTTCTGGAAATCCATCTATTTAGCTTAAACAGTTATGAAAATTGCATAATTACCCCTATAGTTACTCCATCTTCCCAACCGCTACACCGAAATTGCAAATTTGACCCAAAGTGGATCTCTTTTGCAATATCTAAAATATCCGCCACCAACGCAACATGTTTCGGCTCTTCTTCAGCTGTAATCGCTTGTGACTCGTTTACGAAAATTCGCAATACCGAGCTTAAAATCTTATGATCCACGGTTCAAATCTTACGATTCAATTCAGTCATACCTAAGTCGATTCAAATGTAACATAAATCTTAAATATCTACAAATCGATCAAATTTTAAGATTTACAATTTAAGATTTAAGAATACTGAAACATTGATCGCTAAAAAAAAAATTATTACAGTACAACATATACTAACATATGATATAAATTATTATGCTATTATTATACAGTTTTTCGATGCATGTATTACGAACGACTTACTTGTACATATAAACAGTCTGACTTTCGTGTATTTGGTAGTTGCACGAGGCACAATTTAGAACAAAACTTTCGCCAAATTTGAACAGTGATCCATCTTCGTTTTCTTCAAATTTGGAACTCGATCCATGTTCGTTTTCTCCAAATTTTTGGAATTTGATCCATGTTCGTTTTCTTCAAATTTGGATTTCGATCCATGTTCGTTTTCTCCAAATTTAGAATTCGATTCTTCTTGGTTCCTCGATGTAACAATATGTTCGGACTTCATGCTCGGAGAATGAAAGACCAAAATTTATCTACAGATACAGGTAATAAATAAACTATCTTAGTGTGTGTGTATATATATAGCTGTTTGCGAGCTTTTGCTTCTATAGTATATTAACAAATCTAGGAATTCGATGTAGCTCCATTAAAGCTTATGCTTAGTGAGGTTACATCTTTTCATGTTTTTAATACATGAACAGAAGAATTTTTATAATATCTAGCTATTAACTTGGAGTTATTCTTGTACAGAGTTTTATCAAACTCGGGTTTGTTGCAAGAGCTTGTATTTTGTTATTCTTAATTAGTCAATCTAGAAGGGTGTATAAATAATGGTTATCACTACATATTAGTTTCTGAAATTACTTGCCAAACTTTGGCCGTAAAAGTTGGTTATTGTTTAGTGAAGTTCCAGATGAGCTAAGGATATAATAAAAACTTTAGTCGTGGAAGCTAGATGTTATTATTGCACTCGTTGAAATGTTTTCGGCTCACTTCTCAATTCCTGCAATGACCGATAAATGGCATCTTTTATTTTTAATTGTTCTTCGTTTTCATGGGTACAGCTACACAAGACGGTTTGACAAAGTTGAACTAGACACGATTGTTGAGACTGTCAGTGATCTTCCAGATCCAGTGGTATATTCTTTCAGCATAATTTCTTTTACCACAATATTTATGGTTGTAACTGGATCATTTTAATGTGTTGCTCAAGTGAGAAAAAAAAATAGTTTCTGACTTCTGGTCATATTCCTAACGATTTTTTTATTGTTGTTAGCTTGATCCCGCTGTTCAAGAAGCATTTGATGTGGCTTACGATAATATTTATGCTTTTCATGATGCACAAAAGCCAGTCGAGAAGATTGCTGAGAACATGGAAGTAAGCAGTGCAATATTTAATTGCAAAATCATGTGGTCATGGATAATTTCGATTGAACCATGTAGCCCCGTTTGTATTTCCTCCGTGGGTCTTTATTATCCTGGTGGCACTGCTGTATTGCCATCAACTGCTCTGATGCTTTCTGTGGTATGGTGATTTTATAATTCATTTTAATTTTTTCTTTTTTGGATTATTAAACTGTGACTGCAATTTTAGCTTACTCCACTGAAATGCCTTGTTCTGAATTAGCCTGCTCAAATTGCTGGCTGCAAAACCATTGTACTTGCAACTCCTCCCGCGCAAGACGGCAGCATTTGTAAGGTAGTTGTTCCATCTTGTAGTGTTACGATGTTGTCTTTATATGGCTCACCAGTCACCACCCATTCCTGTTTTTAGGAGGTTCTTTATTGCGCGAAAAAAGCTGGTGTTACTCATATTCTTAAAGCAGGAGGTGCTCAGGTCAGAATGCAGTATGCTCATCATGTACATTCCTGTATACGGGATACTCTTTCTTATGTTACTAACGTTTTACGTTATCATGTTTAGGCAATTTCAGCCATGGCATGGGGAAGTGAATCTTGCCCTAAGGTATCAATTCCTGCATAATTTGTACACTTTCCGTAGCATGCCTTTTTGAATAGCAACCTATGTCAGGTGGAAGCTTGGGTTCTCCAGTTCAGTTGATTCTCTCTTGATATGAAAGTTTTTACCAAGAAAATTGCCCTTTTTACTTGTTTGTTTCTATGACTGTTGCCACTAGCAATTTTACTTGTTTGATTACTTACTTGCATAGAAAAATACACCCATACATGTATGTATATGCACATATCTGTGTGTTAGTTTATGCTGGGTTAGCATGAATTCTAACATACGTGCACATTTCTGTACACGCACATACCCGTGTGTGACTTTGTGATGGATTAGCTATATAATACACTGGTAATGACAATGTTCTTTTTCAATTGCAAAACTTGTCCAGCTGGTATTACCCTTCGTATCTTAAGTTGACTTTGTATTACACTGAGTTAGTTTATCTGATGAATTTAAAATGGAAGTTGAGTTGTTTGTTGCCAAATGAATGTCTTCTGAGGCCTAAAGTAGATTATAAAGTGAATTTATCTTGTTCTACTGTTACTGGTGACGAAATTGATTTATTTAACTGCATACTTTTGCTCTTCTCAAAAAAAAAAAAAAAACTGCATACTTTTGCTGCTATGCATCTATGTCAATTTTATGTTGCTGTGAGTGCAGGTTGAAAAGATATATGGGCCTGGAAACCAGTATGTTACTTTATGCTCTATGAACTGAGAATTGATCTTAACTATTTCTGCTTTATCCCTTACTACATGTTGCTAATTTGTTAATTGCTCTCAATAGAACAGTGAAGCCATGATTTCAATAGACATGCCAGCTGGACCATCGGAAGTTCTTGTCATTGCTGACATTATACTTTTGTACGTAAACTGTGTGCAGGTTCTGTATTTTTGGGTGAGTGGACACCAGAAAGCGTTGGAGATTACGCAAGTGGGACGAATCACTTTCTTCCAACTTACGGTTACGCACGTATGTACAGTGGAGTCTCGTTAGATTCGTTCTTGAAGTACATCACCGTACAATCACTGACAGAAGAAGGGCTTAGGAAACTTGGTCCTTATGTAGCAACTATGGCCGAAATTGAAGGTCTCGATGCCCACAAGAGAGCTGTCACTCTCAGACTTAAAGACATTGAAGCTCGACAACTTTCTAATCTCAGATAAGTATCGAAATTGATTCTTTTATCTTTTCCCTAAACGAGAGAGAGAGATCCCTTCTTTTGTTCGTCTAATTTTCTTGCCTTTCCTCAAAAAAAAAAAAAAAACACTGGATACTGCTGTTGTTGTACTCTGATTTTGCACTTTGGTTCTAAGTTCTTTATTTATCATTCGACAGAAAAACAAAACCGTCGACAAATTTTGTCAGTGCTGCCTTATTTTTGGGTAATAAAAATTTAGAAACCTCTGCAGTTTGTTCTTAAAAATATAATTTTCAGCTGATGAGCAATTCTCTTATTGTCTTACGACAAAGCCGATAATTTTGTAGTATATTAGGATTTATAAAGGTTGACGAAGTCACACAATTTAGCACAGGGGAATAGCTTAATCTTCAGCCATTACTCTACTCAAATTTGTTATGAAAAAAACTATATTAATAATCACCAAATATATATATATATATATATATATATATAGTCGAAACGTAAAAGCTGTACAAAAGAAATTCCTATCTAAGAAGCTGGTTGCTTAATGAAATAGTCTCCTTGGAACAGTCTTCTGTTTGTGTTGTAGCTGCGTAAGTTTGAAGTCTGTCTAAAGCCATCACTTTAGCTCGGCAACGATGGCGACATAAACATTGATCACTGTAGAAGAAAGAATAATCTATTACTATCAAATTAAAAGTTATATGAAATTGATTACTTTGCTATATTATTATACTAAGTTTTCCAATGCATATATATTACGAACGACTTACTTGTACACATAAACAATCTGACTTTGATGCATCTGGTAGTCGCACAAGGCACATCGTCGAATACTTTTTTCTCGAAATTTGGACTTGGATCCAACCTCGTTTTTCGACGTAGCAATAGTATGTTCTTCTGGCTTCTCAGTGTGGCTTAACGGAATAATCTCCTTATGACAGTCTGCATAAGCTTGAACTCTGTCTAAAGACATCACTTTAGCTCGGCATCGATGGCAACAAAAACATTGATCGCTAAAGAATAAAAAAACCGAGAAATATAGGCTTAATTCGGATCAAAGTACAACTTATATAATTAACATGTGCTATTATTATACAGTTTTAGAATGCATGTATTACGAACGACTTACTTGTACATATAAACAGTCTGACTTTCGTGTATTTGGTAGTTGCACGAGGCACACTTTTGAACAAAACTTTCGCCAAATTTGAACTGTGATCCATCTTCGTTTTCTTCAAATTTGGATTTCGATCCATCTTCGTTTTCTTCAAATTTGGAATTCGATCCATGTTCGTTTTCTGATCCAAATTTAGAATTCGATTCTTCTTCGTTCCTTGATGTAACAATATGTTCGGACTTCATGCTTGGAGAATGAAAGACTAAAATTTCTCTACAAATACAGGAAATAAATAAATAAACTATCTTGGTGTGTGTATATATATATAGTGTCTGTAAGTTTGAATATAAGGGAAATTTAGAAAAGAAAGTTTCTAAATCAATTATTTTTCCTTTTTTGTAATTAAGAAAAATATTTTTATTTAGTATTTGGGAAATATGGCTGCATATTCCTTTTTATTAGATATAAAAATGGAAGGTTTTACTAAGGGCTTATCTAATTGGTATTTTTGGCAAGAGAATTTTATTTTTTAGGATTTGATTTCCATGTATAGCTAGTGTACGAGGATTATTAATAAGGGGCTATATGCCAAACACCCTTCATTGGAATTTTAATTCTTAATAAATCATTTATTTATAAATGATATTTGAGATAAATTTAATGAGCCTGAAAAACCATTTATGTCCCCACTAATTATTAATTAGTATAATTATTTATATTAAAAAAAAATTATACCCATAATCTACACTCAAATCTTCTCCAAAAAATATTCTCCTCTTCACGCCAATTCAGTTTTATTTATTTTTTTCTTTTTTGGTTTGTTAAATGGTTTCTTTTTTCGATTTAAAAGAAAATTTTGGGCGGCGGTGGAGGAAGGTAGAGTTGCTCGGAGCGTGGGGTATATGGTGGTGGTGGTGGTGGAAGGGGACGGTAAGGTGAGAGGCTGTGATTTTTATTTTTTATTTTCGAGTAAGAGGCGGTGATTATTGTACGCAATAAAATTAGGGTTGAATAAATAATTAAAGGGTATAATGGTGAAACTTATTTTTTTTTAATTAATAAAAGACGTTTTGGATTTATCTATTTTTTTTTACCTAATGTAACTGGACTTGTCTAATGGGGACTTTTGTGAAATAATCCCTATTAATAAACCTGACCGGGTTCATAACGTTCTTAACGTTGGGCTTTATATTCCGATTCTTCTTTTTATATAAAAGAAGAAGAAAAT